TTTATTGTTTCCCCCACCCTGTTTTTTTTAGGCCCCTCTTTGGGGGGGGGGGGGGGGGGGGCGGCCCTCTCGAATTATGATGGCCATTTAACAGAACCAGGCTTTGAGGAATTAAGCAACTTGCCCCAGGTCGCCCAGCTAGGCCTGGCAGCTGTTTGAACCACATTAGGTCCCTCAGCTACAGGGGTCATCCCACACCTGGCGCCTTCCCTCTCCCTGGCTAGGGCCTCTGGGGTCCAGCCTCAGCCTTGCCCTGGCCCGGGGAGGTGGGGAGGGAGGGGGGGGGCGGGGTAGGAGTGGAGGAGCAGCCAACCCTGCTGGGCTCAGGCCCCTTTCCCACCATTCTGAGCAGTGACTTCCACAGCCTCTGGTCTGTGCAGTGGAGGGGGTGCCCCAGGCCCAGCTGGCTCTGCCCCCCTCCTCAGGGCTGTGACCTGGCTGGGTGATTGCTGGTCACCTGGGGCCAGGAGGCGCCTCCCAGCCCGAAGACGGGGGCTCAGTGTGGCAGTGAACCCCTGAACTAGAGCTAGGTGGGGAAGAAAGATGAAATATCACAGCCCCACCCTGGGAACCCTTCTCTGATGTGGTGGTGTCACCCATTCCACCTCAGGAAGCCCCAGTCTGATGGGGAGACGGGGCCCCTGCCCTGGGAGTGCCCTGTCTGATGGAGAACGAGGTTGTGGTGGCTGAATAAGATGGGCTTGCAGGCTCGTGCCCCCGCACCTGGCACGTGGGAGGTGCCTGGCAAATAAATGGTGGCTGCTGGAGCTTATCCACCACTCGGCACAAGCCTCAGGTCTGTGCAGTGGCAGGTCCTCTGGGAAGGTTATCTCCCTAGAGTGGAAGGGCCAGTCTGACAGGTTCCATTGCAGGACTGGGCCATGCGTGCTGGAGTGGGGCCTCTGGGTGGAAGGTAGATTTCCTTTCTCCCCTGGGCTCACACCTCTTGCTTCTTGCTGCAGGGTGGTTAGGTGTGGCCTAACTATCGAAGGAGATGCTGTATATGAAAATGCCTTGCGCAATACCTGGCCCCACGGTGCCCATACCTGGGGATGGGGGGTGGGGGAGAGACAGGAACGGCGGGCTGGCAGGCAGGTGGCATTCTGCAGGAAGCAGAGGAACTGTCCGACCCAGGGCCCGACCCAGGCCCTCCCAGCCCGGGTTCCCGTGGTTATTCCTCAAACCTGGGATTTTCGAAGCCACGGCTTGGACGACCGGCCTTCAGTCCCCAAAGCGGAGAAAGTGGAGAAAACCACAACTCGGCCCTCCTCACACCTTCTCCTGTGGACTTGGCTTTTACCGGAGCCGGATGGTGGGACCCCAGAGGTCCCTGGTATACAGCCAGGTGCTGAGTCCCAGGTGTCCCGGCACTAACCGGACCAGGTTAGTGTCAGCCCTATGACCGGGAGGGGGGTGGCCTTTTGCTTCAGATTAACTCAATTCAACTAGTATTGACTGATCAGTTCCTTGGCCCTGTGACAGCCCTGAGGACACAGCCACCCACCAGCACATGTAATTAATCAGGACTTCCCCACCCACAGTAGACGGTATGGGCAGAGACTTCCCTCCTGGTCACCACAGTATCCCCAGTACACAGAAGGTGCTCAATAAATGGTGAATGAATTGAGTGAGTGAAGTGAATGCCTGAAACACTGTTCCCCAAGGGACCCTCAGTCAGTGAAGGAGACAGGCATGGAACCCCCAAGCACAAAACTATTGAATTTGTACACTTTAAATGGGTACATTGGCAGGCATGTGAATCATCACTCAATAAAGCTCTTTGAAAAAATAGAGAATTGGCTATTATTAAAACTTGAATGGGAAGTTGTAGGTAATGAGAACATATATTACTGTCTTACAACATTCCTACTCATGTAGTCATTACACAGTCACCTGAAGGCCTACTATGCGTGAAGAACTGGTGGTCAGGTGAGAGAGGAGTAAAGGATTTCATTCACCAGAGCAGCGATTTTCAACCTTTTTCCCCTCATGGCACACAAACTAATTGCTAAAATTCTGCAGCATACCGAAAAATATATTTTTTGCCGATCTGACAAAAAGAATAGGTAAATTTTGATTCCTTAACACCAGATGGCTATTGTGTTGGCTGTTGCCATGTTTTTATTTGACCAAATAAGGGAAAAGAGGTCAGTGCCCCTGACTAAACAGGTATTGCATGTTTTAAAAATCCTTGCAGCACACCGGTTGACTCTCTCTGCACTAGACCAAAGAGATAGAGACATCAGTGTGTATATATATACATACCAGGTATCTGTTCATTCCTCAGAACATTTACTGAGCACTTACTCCAAGTTGAAAAGTTTCACAAAGTAGCAACAGGGATGAGTATGTCTATGTAATAATAGTTTTAAAGATAATAGGAAATATCTAAGAATAGAAAATAAAACCCTAAAATATTATACCACATTTAAATATATTTCAGAGACTTGATTTCTTTAAATTATGAGGTTATAGATATAAAATGTTTATAGTCTCGCCCAACTGGCATGGCTCAGTGGTTGAACATCAACATATGAACCAGGAGGTCACAGTTCAACTCCTCATCAGGTGCTTGCCTGGGTTGTGGGCTTGATCACCTTTGGGAAGGGTGGGGAGGGTACTGAAGGAGGCAGCCAATCAATGAGTCTCATCATTGATGTTTCTATCTCCCTCTTCCTCTCTGAAATCAATAAAAATATGTTTTTAAAAATAAAATGTCTATAGTCTCAATTTTGTCATTTAAAACGTTGCTTGAACAATCTGAGAAGTGATACAAATTATAATGAACCAAGAAAAAAATAGCACCAACCAGTTATTTAAAAAAGTACCTGTTGCCCTAAACGGTTTGGCTCAGTGGATAGAGCGTAGGCCTGTGGACCGAAGGGTCCCAGGTTCGATTCAAAGTATTTGCAGGAAGCAGATGTTCTGAGTGAAGTAACAGCATGACAAGGTGTTAAGTAACCTGGGTTTTCCTACTGAAGGTTTTACAAATTTTAGTTATATTGAGAAAATGAGAAGTGATACAAATTATAATGAACCAAGAAAAAAATAGCATATATATGTATTTTTAAAAAGTACCTGTTGAATAACCCACCTGTTTCCTATAGGGCCGGAAAGCGAATTGCAAAATCACTAACAAACTCCTCAAAGTATTTGCAGGAAGCAGATGTTCTGAGTGAAGTAACAGCATGACAAGGTGTTAAGTAACCTGGGTTTTCCTACTGAAGGTTTTACAAATTTTAGTTATATTGAGAAAATAATTATGAAATTTTTAACATTTAAATTCTAGAATATATAATTTATAACGTTTACTTACAGTGTTTGGAATGAGACATACTTATTAAGATTGTGCTGTACAGGCTGACAAACGCAAGCAAAAGATTCTCCCTTGGCCCCCTGCTTACTGTGAAGTGGAGGAGACGGGTCTGCCTCTGGCTTGTGATGAGGGTTCCCCGGCCCAGCGACTGGCCCCGAGTAGGTACCACAGGTTCCCTCTCCTCCAGCCCCTTGAGTGTCCACTGGTTCCCGGAGCAGAAGTGCACTCAGTCAGCGATAGGCGGGCTCAGGAGGGAAGGAAAAGATGAACCATCGCCACCTAGGCCAGCGCCTTCGAAGCAGGAATGAAACTTCCAACTTCAGTATCGGTCTCTCAAGAGAGAACATCTTAACTGGCTTAGTGTGGGTCATGCCAGGGGGAGGAGAGAAGGCCATGACTGCGGGGCACCAGGCTCCATGGAGGGGGTGGCACCAAAGAGAAGAAGGGTCTGGAGGCCAAGTCCGAAATGCCCGCCCACCCCGCCAGCTGAGGAGGGTCCCACAGGCCTGCCACCCAGCAGCTGCTTGGTCAGTGACGTGAATGGACAGGGAATCTTGGGACCTGCGGCCCCAGAAGACCCCTAGAAGGTGACCTGTCAAGATGACAGCAAGGGGGCAGGTGGGAGGGCCTTGGGGAAACAGGGAATGCGGGGTTACCCACCTGAGCCCTCACACTTGGAGAGATGGAGACACCGTCCCAGGGTGCCAGGGGTTCATGCAGCCCAGCCCAGAAGGCTGGCTCCTGCCACCCCACCTCACCAAGGCTGCCTCCTGTTATCGGGCACCAAAGGGCAGTTCGGGAAGCATCTAGTGAGCCCGTGGGGGTGGAGGGGCTGCCCTAATGCTGCCAAACCCCGAGTCTGCCACCTGCAGCTTGTGGACCCAGAGGGCTAGTCAACCACCCCGGGCTCCTTAGCATGCGTGAGGGGCCCTGCAGCCACCGTGCCTGCCTCCGTGCAGAGAAAGGAGTGGCTGGGAGGTGGCCCTGAGTCAAGCTACAAACACTCCTTTTGCTTTTTCCTTCACCTAAGAAACCTGCTGTCAGAGCCCACTGTTCCCAATCTCACCAGCCTGACTTAGCGTCAAAACATGGGCAGTGACGGCTCCCATGGAAGATTCTGGAAGGCAGAGTAAGATCAGGCCTGGCATACATGTCACAATTTCTGGGTTTCAAGTGTTATTTTTGGTCACATGATTGAACACCTATCAAAAGGAAAATCATTTATTCACCACTCTGTGTGCCAGGCACTGCTGCCCTCACCCCACGAGGCTGTCCCCCGGTCCCACATGGCAGTGCCTCTGGGCCACGCACCAAGGGTCCCC